ACATGGTACTATGCAGATTCCTCCGGCTAAAAGAGCAAAAGGGGGGTAGCAATTAGGCCTGGCAAAGAATTTGAGTTGGAAGATATAGAAAAACAGACCACAGATGGGAGATTTTTGTTCTTAAGGGGCAAGTTACAGGAGATCGAGTGTACACTGGCAACATCTACTGCCCTATATAAAAAAACCTAAATACATAGGAGTAATCTGAAAAAGGTGTTAGGAAGTTGATGGACTTTAAAAAAGGACGTTTGATCCTGGCAGGGGATTTAACTTCTATGGACCCACAAAGGAGATAGCCACCCTTCCCATAAAAGACTCTCAGAAGGAAGTAAGTGCCCTGAAATTATTGAAAAAAAGAATTAACATAAGTCAACTGGTAGATGCCTGGAGAATTACACACACGCAAGATAGAGAAAATACTTTTTTTTCTCAAATATGCACAAGAGATATCAAGATTAGATTATATATTAATAGAACATCAATTAAATCGACCATCTGACCCAGGTAGATATAGAGACAATAACTTTATCAGACCACGCTCCAGTTACTATGAAAATGGAATGGGGGAGAAGAAAAGCGGGAGGGCTGGGATTGGAAATTGAATGAGGACACTTTTAGTGGAAAGGGAAATAGCTCAGAAAAATAGGGGAGGAGATCGAACGCTTTTTTAAGGAGAATGAGACAGGGGAGGTTTGTCAACAGCCACAGTGTGGGAGGCTCACAAAGCTTATATATAAAAGGAATATTAATGGCGATTGGGGCTAGAAAGAAAAAGAAAGAAGGGGAGAAAATGAATGAGGCTTCTTATAAGAAATAGATTAAATTAGAACAAATACATAAGAATAGAATAACAAAAGAAATAGAGCTGAAGTTAAAAAAAACAGAAGAAGGACCTGAAAGAAATGATAGAAAAAGAGAGGAGAAAAGATAATAAAATAATTAAGTTTTCTAAAAGAGAGATATAATGGGGAGAAAGACCCTGGAAATATCTGATGAGATCCCCTGAGAAAAGGGAAAAATAGAAAATATATATAAAGATCTAAAGGAAGAACATGAAACACTCAAATAAAAGATATCAACCAAAGCCTTACATATGAATAGTATACATGAAACTGTAAAAACACAAAAAGCGAGGGACGGAGCCCCTCGGAAATTATAGACAGGCATGAGAAAACACCATACAAGAAATGAAATATTTGGAAATGGCTAGGTTAATAAAAAATTAAGTGAGGACCAAACCTAAACTACCCTAGAACGCGAGATAACATTGAAGTAATAAAAACTAAGCATTCAAATGGGTGACATCGTCGGAAAAGCCCAGTGCCCAGCATGGATATATAAACATTGAGATACACAGTGAAATCTAGTTACCAAAACTCAAAAACTACAATGAATACTAGGTGGAGAAGAGATGTAACGTATAATGAGAAATCATTACAAGCCCAACTCGTTAGCACGATTCATAAAGAGGGAAAGAGATCCCTCTCAGTGTTGCTATGGAATGCTATGACACATATTATCACTACTAGACACTAAGTTTGTACGCAAATCATGAGAGCCTACTGCCCTGGATTGGATACATGAGGAATCAGGTGGGAGCTAATGTTCCAGGTTATTGAAAAGGAGGAAAAAACACACCCATTTCCCCGCAAAATGGTTGTATATCGATCATAGATCGTCTAAAGCAGTAAAAAGAGGAGAAAAGACAACCCGTCCTTTACTAGACTGTCTATAGATGATTCTGACAAACGTTTGATCGGGTGTTAAAATTGGAGATTCATGATACTCTGGAAGTATATTGGAAATCTGGCCCAGGAATTAGAGAACTGTATATGTAAGAGTTTAGCAGGATTAACCCCAACCTGTGGTCATAATAGGGTTCAGAACCCCATTGAGATGTCAAACTGAACTCAGAACCGAGGATAGGCCCCATTATCCTCAATGCTGTATGTTATAATCTTAGAACCTTCATAATCAACAATAAGATTGAATGAATAGACGTATCAGGGAATCCGAGATAAGGAGATACGGAAACATAAAGTTGCCTGGTGCTAGGTTCACATAGAACAACTTGTTGTTCATGTGTAAGGAAACCCCCCATTATAACACTTCCAAAACTTCATGAAGTCACAGAACTATCAAATTATAAAAGATTAAAATCCCTAGCAAAAAACGGCGATTCTAAAATAAATAAACATCTTAAAAAACGAGAAAATGAATGGATCCAAAACTTAGGAAATTTCCCTCTTAAAATGGAAATATAGAGATATAAAAATATCACTATGATTTCACGACTCGATCAAAGAGATTAGTGTAATAAAGAATTGGAAGGAACCCCCAGAACATTGGATGGGTCCCGTATTAATGTGGTAAAAGATGTTAAAATAATTACCAAAAATCAAATATAGATATATCATGATCGCCAATTAAAACTCCTCAGAGATATTCTTTAAAATAAATTAAGAGAAGTTCGAATAAACAAGATCAATAATGAGGAACTCAAAAAACCAAGACTGATCACTTTTCCAAACTGCTAAGTATAGAGTTAGGAGGAAAAGAAAAAAACATTTCAAAGATATTACAAAGCTTGATTACTGTCAAGAACCGATAATAGTGGATATTTAATAATATGGTTGAGAATAGGAGAATGGAACTCATCTGAATAGACTTGGCGGAAGAATGATATTTAAAACCAACAGTAAAGGGGGTTTTAAATGTACAATTGTAGAATACATACACTTTTGAATTGTTTTAAAGATATGAGGATAACTTAGAAGTCTGATGGGACTTTTAATTCTAACACTGATTTCCACTAAAAAATACAGAGTTTTTCTTTCCCACCCGAGGTAGAGGAATAAATAGGAAAAAGTGGTTTAAAAAAAGATAAGGGGGCAATTACTTGATTATGAAATACATAGGCGAATTGAAAAAAAAAGAGGGAGAGATTTTCACTAAATTTAGACGAAATGGCGGTATTTTTCCAATTGAGGTGTTGTTTTGTCGGAAGTTTGCCAAGACCTTTAAGGACAAAGACAATTGGAACTTGTTTGAAAGACATTGGGAACACAAGGTGATGGGAAACACGGGATTGCTAGAATTTATAAAATACTCACTGAACATAAGACACAAACACGAAACCAACATATTTTAACAAAATGGGAAATGGATATGGGAGTTGTGATAGATGAGGAAAAGCAGAGGAGAATGTATAGATTAACTCACGAAAATGTCCTCTATGAGAGAAGTAGAAATGAACTAAAGTGTTTGACAAGATGGCACATTTCACCAGTAGTAGAAAATAAGATGTGGTGGAGAGAGTACCACCGCTGTGTTGGAGGGGATGTGGAGAAATAGTACAAATATACCATATATGGTGGGGATGCCCAAAAATCCAGATATTCTGACAACAATAATCCACTTAAATAATAAGAAAATTGACAGAAATAGATATAAATCTAGATCCAGAAGTATGTATTTTGCACATCACGGATATAACGGTAAATAAATATAAAAAATCAGGATATGGAACTATATAAATGCTGCAAAAGCCCTGATACCCAAGTTCTGGAGGCAAATAGATGGCACCAAAGGAAGAGGACTGGATTGAAAGAGTTGAGCAGATTTAAAAGATGGAAAGGCTGTGCCATACCCAAGAAGATAAGATGGAGGTTTATCATGGGAAATGGGAGAACTGGGAAAAAAAGCCAGATTATATATATGAGGTGTAGGAAAGAAATAAAGATAACAACAGAAAAATTCCACTTGCTGATATAAGAAGACGTAGAGAAAAGATAGAATAGGCAGAGGGGACATAGGGTGGGGGGTGGAGAAGGGGGGAAAAAAGGTTGCATAGAGTATATAAAGTAGAAATGTTTTTGGTTAATATAATATTATAGAATATATTTTATATATATATATATATATTTATATTGTGATGATGAAATGTAATTGAAATGGAAAATTAATAAATATTTGAATTATAAAAAAAAAAAAAGAGCATTAAGGCTAGAAGATTTGACTATGATGTAGTGAAGCTCACGCCTCTCCTCTAATGCAGTAGTTCTTACCTCAGCATTTAAAAGTTTACTCCTATGATGGAGGTTTTGAGTAGTGACTAGACCTCACTTAGCAATGTCCTAGCAACATCCTAGGAGCATTCCAGTCAGACCTCATGAGTTAGGTAATAGGCCTACACCTATAGCAAAGGCATTTTTCAACTATAGTCAGAGCTGCAGTTTGTTGTTAATGTACAGACGCCCCTTATCTGCATATGCAGTTTTTTTGGTAAAGGTGAACTTTAAGTGTCTATTAAAAAACTTTTTCCAAAATATTTTTACTTGCAAAAAATATCCTGTGATGATATCCTAGGATGGAGATGTCGCAAGAATGAAACAGCTCTTCCCCTAATGTGCTGAAAAGTACAATAGGCCTTCTCATAGCAGAACAGTATTTACATATCAATTCCAATAAAAAACTGAAAAAAGGAGCTTATTTTAGGATAGTGGATAGAGCCAACAAATAATTTTTTTATGATATTGTGATAATTGTGCATTTAGGTCTCCTGGTGAATAGGATGGATGCACTTTTAATTTAGATTCAGTTTTTTTATTCCAGCTTACATAAAGTTCTTTAAAGCTAGTTGATTGCAAGGTATGAAAAGCAAGGCTCTGTGATGTAGTGCTTGGGGAGCACCTTAATAGCACAGCTAGTGAGCTTAGGATGAGGAAGGCCCAAAGGGACCAAAAGCTCTGATGAAGAAAGCACAACTCTTGAAATACATTAGTGTATGACTTATACCACAATGACTGTTGGTGTGCAGTGGAATAGCTGTAGTTGTCTGTTGAGCAAGTTGGGTCTCTAAATTTTCTGGGTTTTGCACTTTATCCACATTGAGATATCTGATGAATTAAGAGAATCACCATGACACCAAACGTTTTGTCAACCCTTGCTCTTTGGCCAAATGTGAACAGCTTAGCTTTAAGAGGGCAGGGCTTAACTGGCGTAAGCAGGGGTGGACTGACAACTCATGGGGCCCCTGGGCAATAGGGGATCATGGGACCCCTGTGTCCTTGCCCAAACTCAAAAAAGCAGATGAAAAAGGTCCCAGGGGCATCTCATGGGGCCCCCTACTGACCCCGGGCCCTCGGGCAGTTCCCAAATGGTCAGTCCGCCCCTGGGCGTAAGAGTCTCTTGTCTACTACGTTTGTGAGTAGGTTAGTAAACATTTGCAAAAATATCCCTTCCTTTTAATGTACTGCAGTGTTCAGTATATCAGAACATTAAAGCGGAACTACACCATATCTGAGCACCACAAACCAAAAGCGCTATTTAATTCCTTTTTAATATTCAAAGCAAACTCACCCATCCATCACTATACTTTATTTTGCTGAGAAATCATTTAGAAAAGCACCCTCAGTATTTCTGGCCGTGGTCATCTTGAGTAGGGGCAGATGACTCATGTAGAATTTACTTATGTGAATCCATCTGCCCGTAGCTCAGGCATGAAGGCAGGAGGGTGTGCTTAGCTGAGAGAAAACCGCTCCTCCCCTCCTTAAGACTCCTAGGATGTATGACATAATATGCCTAGGCATGGAAACTAGGAAGTAACTAAAGAAATGTAAAAAAAACAGTTTAAAACACGTAAATAACATATACTTTCCTATCTATTTACAAAGGTTAGCAGCATAAGGATTCAAAATAGTAAATTTTTATTGAGAGAGTGAAGTTCCACTAGCTCTACTTTATCCTAAAATGAGAAATAAAATTCCTTGATTCTTGGATTTGCTTTTGAAGTGATGTCCCTGTTGTTTTCAGAATGCATACTACAGAATTAATAAGGTTAAAGTTGACTCTGGTTGTAAACCTATACTGTAAAAAAAAAAAACCTAAATCAATCTAATCCTACAGTTGATTAGATTTTACCTTTACTAAGTATTTGAGCTTAGTTTGGTATCTTGAAGCAATCCCCTTCTCCAGAATTCCCCCCCTGCTCTTCTGAACAGAATAAATCTGACACAATCAGAAAATTGGTGTCGTCACTCCCCTTCTCCTTTGAGCGACAGGCTGTGCTGAAGACGAATATGCATGTAAAGTGCAGTGCTGAGAATTAAATAAAGGTGAAATATATAAACCAGTGCAAATTGAATATTACAAATCACACAATAAAAACTAAGTGCAAAATATGATAAAACTAAATGATGAAATAAACAAACAAAATACATCCAGTAAAAAGTCAAAGTAAAATCAATCAGTGTGGGTAGATGAAGGAATATGTCCGTGGCACTACAAGACACCACAGTGTTCATTTCCAAGCAGATGCTGTGAAATCCAGTGAGGCAATCCACCACCACTATGCACTCACCAGAAAGCTACTGGTATAGCAGCAATGTATATACTTTCAAATGGAGACTTGAAATATTTGACCAAAAGGACTTCTCCAGAAAGCTACTGATATAGCAACACTGTGTATACTTTCAAATGGAGACTTGGAATCTTTGACCAAAAGGACTTCTCCTAGTGAATAAATCTCACCACAGGAGCCCAAAAATTGGTATATAGTGTAGTACTTTATTTAAATAGGATATACTATTACTCTCAACACTCGCCTGCATGTTGGAGACAATGCGGAGAAACAGGATCAACTCTCCATATACTCTGGACATGTAAATCCCTTAAATCATACTGGAACAAAGTCTTCCAACTGATCTCATCAGTCACTGGACTCCCAGTGTCGCCAAACCCTGCTCTCGCACTCCTACACATAGGAATCAACAAATTCCCTACAGAATCGCGCACCATCATAATTCACACATTAGCAGCTGCTAAAATCAACATTACTAAATTGTGGAAATCCACCAAAACTCCCTCTTTCTCAGCTCTCATATCTGACCTTAACTTCAAATGTGAGATGGAAAAGAGAACAGCCTTCCATAATTCCTCTTATCACAAATTCAAAGTCCAATGGTCTCGATGGTAACAAAACCCTAATTGTTCCATAAAACCATAAAATGATAAATATATAATCATACCACACTAAGACCTACGCATTTGACTGGTGCCCTCCCCCCCCCATCCCTTATCCACTATATACCTCACGTCTACCCAAATACGGTTCACATCAAACCGAGTATACCTCTCAGGTAATAGCGATTTACGTCGATAACGTCCCCAGCCAATTGGTGGGGACCTATGTTATGTTATGCATACCTAATGCTAAAGCTTACTGTGAACCTTTTCAATGTACCTTACTTTGTTTGTTAAAACAAAAATCTTTCAATAAAAAATATTTGAATATAAATAGGATATACTGTAAAACATTCTACGTGGAAAAGTAAAACAAACAGATGTCTTTAACATACCAAGATGAGTGTGCTGCTCCTCATCATGGATGCAGCAGTGTGACGTCAGCACGTAGGTTCCACCCAACGCATTTCATGCTCCTGCATGTCCTCAGGGGTACGCCCAATGTATGCTGAATACATGACCAGCAAGAGCCTCCATGTAATACACTGCAAAGGGGTGCGGGAACAGGTGTCCTCTCCCTGCTGCTCTCTGCCTTTACAAGATCGAGAACTCAGTAGCAGTGATTTATGGCATAGATCGGCATCACTTCAGTAATGCTGTAGTTATCTAGGTACCTCTGCTGACAGCTGATTATTTTCCTGCTCTATTCACAGCACCTAGCTTGTAAATTACTGTTTACAGAGTTTTACATGAGAATGTTTCCTGGTCCACATTGCCACTTTAGGCTTCAGGATTCCTAGGATTTTTAACATTAACCGTTTCCTACCAGCTTTCTCCTGATTAGCACAGATCCTGTGCTGTAAGCAGAGCTGACATAGTCAGTGGCACCTGTGTATTCCCCTCAGGAGACATGCTCGCAGGCATAGAGATGTCAGAGAGCTGTGCTCTTTCTAGAGCCGAGTCTGGAGGGTGTGTATAACTGAGGGATTGTGTGACATCACATCTCCGCCTACTATTCTCTGGTCATAAGCCACACCCACAGACCAGTAGTTTTTGGAGGGCTGAGACAAGCTAAGGGAGTTTTCCTAAGGTACACTCACAGCTGTATGCATGTTTACATTAAAATGTATTCATTTATGGGAAAAAGTAAATTTTTTATTATTTGCGTTTGCAACCACTTTAAGCATCTTACTGTACCACGCCTTTGTGCAGCATAGCATTGTGGCTCTATCTGATATTGGGTATAGCATAGTTTAGCACATTATTACATGTTTTTCAAGACCTATGTACTACTCCAAGTTAGGCTATGTAGCATGATTAAATGATATAATTAACATGTTTTATATTTACAGTATACAGTATAGTATACTATATATGCAAAGATAAAAGATGCTTGTCCTTTTTTTACATCCATATCACATATTCCATAAATAATGCAGATGATGACAAAGTAATTTGTAAAACTGCTATGCTTGATATACCCTTCCATACATATTCCATGTCCTTTTTTGATGCACTTCCATATTATAGAAATATATATGTGGCACATGGCACGTGGCACATGGCCATAGTGCATAATGTCTGTCCTGGCACAGGCATTACAGCTATTCTTTAGTAAGATCTTTTTTCATATAAATGTACTTCAAGATCTTGGACAAAAAAATATTGTAAATGATATTAAGAATAAGAAACATACATAATGGATTACACCATTCATGCAGCAAAAATGTATATTAAGCTTCATTTGCAAGAAAGCAGGGAATATATTTAATAAAGGTTAGTCCTTAAAAAGCACCACTAGGCAACTGTAAAAAGAGCAATAAATATATATAATATTTTATATGAAAATATTAAGTCAGGAAATACTGTCAAATTATTTTGCATTACGTAATTTGAGATACATTTTACACAGTGTGGTAAGTGAAAGGAGATCAGGAAGCGAGTTTTAAAGAATGCACTCATTTTCAAGAATTTTAAAGCATTTTGTTTCTATAGGACGAAAAAAGTGACATGGTTTAACCCAGGGCTTAAAATTTCAAGTCCTCAGCTACTAGCCAGGCCTTAAGAGTTGCTCGCCATCAGTTGCCCCACCCATCCCCTACCCTGCCCCACCCCTATTTCTGCCCCTAAACATGCCCTTGTAAATTAGCTCATGAAATGACACTGTTAAATGTTACCCACATTACATCAGGGTCCACAGAGTCTCCCCACATTACATCAGAGTCCCCAGAGTCCCCCCCAGAGTCCCCCCACATTACATCAGGGTCCCCAGAGTTCCCCATATTATATCAGGGTCCCTAGAGTTCCTCCACATTATATAAGGGTCCCCAAAGTCCCCCCATATTACATCAGGGCCTCCAATGTCCCCCTAAGCACTACATCATACTTAGATCATGCACCAAATACAACCATAATCTCTCACTCACCAAACCATAACTCTACCAAGCATATCCTACCTTCTATCCAACCCAGCAGTACCTCAAAAGCCCCATCCTCTACCACCCATAATAACCACATCATCCTGAACCAGACCAAACCACCCATACATGTATGCTTAAACACACACATACAGACACATGTACACACTTACACACACATGAACACACACACAGAAACATGTACACACATGTACATACACACAAACGTATACGCACACACAGACACATGTACATACACACACACAGACACATGTACAAACATACACACATGTACATACACACACGTACATACACACACACATGTACATACACACACATGTACATAAACACACACGTACATACACACACACGTACATACACACACACAGCCCTATAAAACGTTGCAGTACAGTACTTTGCCTTCACTCACAGAGCTGGGTACTGCACTCTAGGGGGAGGCAGAGAGCACAGCACACACTCCTTCCTTTGCTTTCACTTTGCTCAACTATTGAGCAGTCTGACGGTTCCCAGTGCGAGTGACGGAGCCAGCCCTGAGTTCTGAGCCTGCTCAGCAAGACGACCCTGGGGGACACACTCGCCCCCACCATAATTTCCACTCGCCAATGTGAGGAGGCGAGTGGAAATTTCAAGGCCTAGTTTAACCACTTGCCCTCCAGAGGATTTCCTGACCTGGCCATTTTTTTCGATATGGCACTGCGTTACTTTAACTGACAACTTACACTGCACCCAAATTAAATTTATGTCCTTTTTTTTCCCACAAATGG